GTGAGTAGGAGAAGGAAGTTTAAATCCTACATAAGTACACCGGTACACAACCCCCCAACTTAGAGTGTTGGTGCGGTATCTACTATCCGCTGTCTTGGATGTCTTTTCTATGAAAAATTTCTCTTTTCCCTGTTTTCTCGTCCTCTAACTCGTACATAGAGTTACCTTTTAGCGCCATCACTTTAGCTTTTATAAATTTTGGTGCCAGAATTTCTTCGTGGCATCGCTCAAAACGAAATTTCGCCGAAAGACAATGTCGCCTACCTTAAAGCCTTTAGCGTTGCTGCGCAAATTATATCGCTTTGAAGAATTTTCAAAGGCCTTCGTGATATTTTCGGTAATTGAACTTCGTATTAATTGCAGCCGGTCAACCCTGTTCAGTACGTTGTCGTCCAAAGTTGTCAGCTTCCTAAGTAACTCATACTCACTTGCGTGAGATAACATTTGTTGACCGAAAAGCGCATAATAAGGCGAACATCCAATTGTTTGGTGGTGTGAGCTCCGTAAGGCTTCAGCAATATCAGAAATATTTTTATCCCAGTGAGTTTGGTCCTGCTTTAAGTACGATCTTATTCCCGCCACGATGGATTTACCCTTTACTCGCGTTGGCTTGCGGACTATACAAGGCAGTATATACATGGCGTCGCACTGAATCACAAATGGTTTGCTGTAGTTTGGACTCGCAAGTACTGGAGCAGAGCACAGTTTAGTTTTAAGTAAGTCGAATGACTTCTGAGCCTCATCGTTCCAATTGAACCTCTTTCCTTTTTTCAAAAGGTTGGTAAGTGGAGCGGTCACTGCCGCGAAATTATCCACGAATCGCCGGTACCAACCAGCCATTCCTAAAAAACGTCGCAACTGTTTGACGTTGGTCGGAATGGGGTAATTGGTAACGGCTGAAATCTTATCGGGATCCGTTCGCAGCGATCCGTCCCCAACAATATAACCCAGATATCGCACTTCTTTAATACAGAATTTGCTTTTGTCAACATTTATTGTCAAACCCGCCTTCCTTAAATGATAAGCAACTTCAGCTAGCACGGACATATGCCTGTCAAAGTCTTCTGACACAATCAACAGGTCGTCTAGGTAGACAAAAACTTGGTTTTTCAGAGTGGGAGGGATTACGCGATCCATCAAGCGACAAAGTGCTTGAGGGGCGTTGCAAAGGCCAAAAGGCATGACGCGGTATCGGTATAACGGACGATTTGGAACAGTGAAACAGGTGTAATCACGAGAGTTTTTGGAAAGAGGAATTTGCCAGAAGGCGCGACGTAAGTCTAATGAACTGATGAATTTAGCCTTGGGAATTCTGCTAAGAATCCCATCAATATGCGGTAGGGGATAAGCGTCCTTAACGGTTACACTATTAATTTTTCTAGAATCAAGACACAGACGGACTTTATTTGGCTTCTTCACCAGTACGACCGGACTTGACCAAGGACTATTTGGAGCCTCTTCGATTACACCGAGTTTTAGCATCTCGTCAATTTCGTCATGTACGAGTTTTTCGACCGCAGGCGAAATGGGAAAATACCGTTGCTTGACCGGACGGACGTTAGGTTCGAGTTGTATCTCGTACTCTAACAAGGAAGTTTTCCCTAAACCTTCTTTGTCACAGTTGGGGAAACGATTTATAACTAAACTAAGTTGTTGCTGTTGCTCGACATTCAAAGAAAGCGTGTTTTCCTTGAACATATTTGCTTCTTCTGTGAGATTTCCGAAATTATATTGGGCGCAATTTGAAATTTGAGCCAGAAATCAATTCCTAAAATTACATTTTGTGAAATGCTCGGGACCACGAAAAATGTGATGGTCTTTGTCAGATCTTTGTATTTAACATTTAAGTCAATAGTGCCAAAGACTATTTGACTTTTTCCGTCAGCCGTGCAAATAGCGGTTTTGTGCTGTTGCAACGCTTTCTGCTTGCAGACCTTATCTGCAAGAGTGCTGCCTAAGCACGAAACCTGCGCGCCACTATCGAGCAAACCTAAATATTTCTCTTCTAGCAATTCAATCTGTGCGTAAGTCCTCAAATCATGGTTTTTGTGTTGCAGCGAACAAATTAAATTTTTTAAATTTTTTCGATTCTTGGCAACGTTCTTCCAGAAGTTCTTAATACGAACCGCCGATCGATTTGGACATGATGGCAAACTTTTATCCAATTCGAATATTCTCTTTCTAACTTTTTCATAATTTTTCAGTCGGACATCGTAAGGGATGATTTTCCTCAGAACTGGATTATCTACATTATCGGAAGCGCGTGTACTCAACTTCGCGTCACCACTATTTTCGTTTGACACATCGGGGCATATGAGTAACTTTTTACCGTTTACTGTTGGCTGTCGTCGCGAGGTTTCTGTTTCGAATCCTCGCTCGCTTTGGAGTTTCCCGGGCTGCAGGTGGGACATCTTGGGCGATAAGTGTTGGGTACACCGTAACCGTAGCAGAACACAGTGCGTTCTTCCAGACAATCGAAGTATCCGTGTCCCTCCTTGTTGCAATTTCAACACAGTGGCTTTGATTTACCTGTTCGCTTGGAAACTTCATTGATTTCAACGAATTCTTGTTCATCTAAACACTCTTCGGTAATACTAGGGTCAAATTGAAGTGCGTTCACCTGCCGCTTAGGGAATTGTCGTGTATTAGCGTTTGGCATAGAATAAGATGTTTTTGCGAGCTCTTTAACCAGGCTTTCATCACGCAAGCAGAGTCGGCGCAACTCAGCCAGCGAATTTATTGGCACAAACAAAAGCTGCTGGCGAACCCGAGGGTGTAAGTTGTGTTGCATGATTTCTAGCAACTCAGTTTCCGGTAGAGGTGCTTGCAGAGATTCAGCAATTTTCAGAATGGCATTGCGAAAATCGTCGAAACACTCATTCTGGCCTTGCTTTCTGGCTCTTATTAAATCTTTAATTTCGAAGTCGCTTTTGTGTTGCTGAAAACTGGTGCGCAAAGCTTGGCAAAGAGATGGCCATGTGACACGTTCGACGGATCGTCGGTATCTCCAATACCAGTTCTTAGCCTCGTTGATGAACAAGCTTTGCGCGTGCTCGCAAAGAAGATTAAAGTTGCCGCCGAGTACATCAATTACTTGTAATTCAATTCGTGACAAAAAACTGTCAACTGACAAGCTTGGTGACCCGTCAAATTTAACGTCCCAACTTGCGATTAGTTAGCTACTCGGCTTGAGTGTGGAATACTAGATACGTCACTTAGTCGTAGTTGATTAATTTGGTTACTGAAATTAGAATGGCTGTGATTGGGCAGAGGAGGATTTTCCCTTGGCCATACTGGTGTAGATCTATTTTGCAGTGGAACTTGTGCTGGAGTATTTGCAATTTGGCTGACATCAGCCGCAGGAGCTACTGGCGGTGAAGGGTTTAAGTTTAACCGCTCTACTAAATTGGCCAAAGTGTTTTCCAGCCTTTGCTCGATGATTTGGCTAACACGGCTTTCTAAACCGTCAAACATTGATGCTGATCGGGCAGATATAACTGCCGAAACTATATTTCGAATGCGCGTATCTTCCTCATTGCTAGCTGCTTCATTGCCAATTGTAAGTTGATCCCTTTGAGCTGGTACCCCCGCGGCAACTTCCGCTTGTGGTTGGGATTTTTGCAAGCTCTCGCGTGGATTTTGTAAATTTCGGCTACTGCTTGTATTACCAGTTACACTTTCTTGGAATGCAGTTCGCGAACGAGTTCGACAACCGGTCGCTTGATGAAAGTCCCTACTACTACACACGGTTCTACACTGCGGGCAGGACGTATTTTTCTTCAGCCAGGGTAGTAGGCAATTTCTGGGAAAGCGGTGTGAGCACGCAGTAACAAGCTCATCGTCGTGCTCGCCGAGATTTTCTCTGCAGATGGTGCAGGCAGTGTGCTCGTTGCTTTGACTCATTGACATCATTGATAAAAGTTAAAAAAAAAAGGTTCGAGTAGAAAAAAAAAAGTATTTAATTATGGGTCTTGTCAATTAAGACCAAACTTCTATTGTAGATTCATGCACGTTTTGCTCTCAGATACATAAGTATTTATGTATGCAATTATCTGAAAATGTATTCTTTAAAAAAAAAAGTGCGTAAGCATAGGGGAAGAAATATGAAACAAAAATTTCAAATCGATGTATATACATACATACATATATCCGCAGATATATGTAGGTTGGAGTTTTAAATATATGAGCTTCGCCAAGAAAGAAAATCAAAGAGGGATTTATAATATGCAATGTACTATACATAAAAACAAATGTTCCTGCTTGATTAGATTAATGGATGTCAAAATTAAGCAAATATTTCATTCGTATCACCGAGGCAACACCAAATGCAATAATAATGAAAATATAATAAAATAAAGAGTTTTTTTTCCCCACAAATTCAGCGTAGAAATATTAACAAGAAACTTCGTAGAAGCAACAGCGTGCTGTCGACTCGCGACAATCGAAGCTCGATGCTGGAGTCTTCTAAAGTGCGCTTAATTAAAAGTATTTACAAGAAAGCTATTTTCCATCGAAAAAAAACCAATGTCTGCAGCAAAAATTCTTAACGAAAAAAAAAACTAACAAAATCTTTAAAAGCAAAATCATAAAAATAAATTTGGTCTGATTCCTTAGGTGTTTGTAAAGCGGTCAAAGTTTAATTGGCAGGTACACAGGAGGAAATAGGTACATACATCCGAAAGGTTGCATCGTTATGTGACTTACTGACATATTCCATGAAATCGGTTATAGTTCATTTCATGTGACACTATAAATTTCCAAAAAAAATCTCGACAGTCAAAAAAAATATATAAAAATAATAATAATTTAAACTGAAAGATTCTCCAAAAGGGAAAAGGATTAAATTATACATGGATAGTAAAATATATTTTAATTTTGTAGTGTGCACTTAGCTATCGGTTAGCCAACTGAAATTTAGCCTGTTTGCTACTAAGTTCCAGATGAACTACCCACTGAACTACAAAAATTAAAAGTACCATGCTTTACAAAGTCTCTGCGATTTTTTTTTTTTTTTTTGTATCTGCGGTGCGTTCTGTAGGCATATAGCCACTAGGATCGAAATTCCGACAGATGTTATTCGCAGTCAATGAGACGAACTTGAACACAGCATGATTAACGAAAAAAAAACTAATAAAATTTTAATAACAACGTTATTTGGTCAGACACATAAGCATTTAGCTTAACTGGTTTGAAGTTCCAAAACAACACTAAACTACGGAATTCTTTCTTTGCATATAACCGGACAAACTTAAACTGATTCCAGGAGGGAATCCTATCTGTGGAGCCCACAATTGCGACGGCATTCAATAAAAAAACACCACCATGTAGACGGCCCCACGTTGGGCGCCATTTTCTGTTATGGTTCCCATTGACTGTTGCAAGCATCACCATATTACATGGCTTAATAGGCAGGATTGTCTGTGGATCGGTTCTTGGAATACGTCGTGTGCACTGGCATTCGTGCCCGGAGCTTCAGTTGCGTAGGTTCCAAATACCGCAGCCAAAGAACCAACAATCCTACCTTCCAGTCAATAGTCCTAACGAGAAACTACTATCTTTGCACACACTGGGGATACTGAACCTGAAAAATACCTAATGCCACACACTCAGCGACCCTAGCCTTCTTTCCTTCCTACAACCTACTAATGCCAAGCAGCACAATTATGAGTTAGCTGGCTGCTTCTGTACCCACCCTACCTCGGCTTTGTCGTTGGTATTAAAGCCCCATAGGACCGCCTACATATCCTTCAGAATCAGACCAAACATAACCTTTTACAGTTTCAGAATCATATTCACATTTATTAATATATTCATCTTATATCTAATATAAACAAACTAGATGCGCTAATAATCTCATTGAATACTATCATACTAATATACAATTATTTAAGACCTAACCTGTTC